TTAATGAAATAAATGGAATAACACCTTTTGATTATGAATACTTATAAATTAGTTCAGAAAATGGATCAGCCAGTCATGGTACTAAGATGAAGAAAGCTCTGTCATGTGTAAGCAGGCAGGGTTATAGAGCAGGTAAATGAGTAGAGAAAAGAGCGATATGCAGAAATCAATGTGAGTTTCTATCTGAAATAGAATTCCTCTATGTTCCCAAGCAGCAGTACTTACCTACAAACAGGCTAAGAAATTATTTGCAATAACCAATTCAAATCTTCAGGTAGCTAGTATAGGGCATGATGATGTACTGAAATTATAAAACTTATCCAGAAAAAAACATTCAGAATTAGGCAGATGGAAAATGTTCAGGAAGGCTGTTCCAAAATTTGCAGGAATTTAATCTCTTTGTTAGACTTCAAAAATGATGTGATTCACTAGCAAATTTACACCACTGACTCAGAAGAAACAAACTACATTTTCTGATAAGTCATAAGCTATCAGCTTGAAGGAATGAAAGTGCAAAAATATATATAAAAGATGTAGCACTTTCTTCTGGTTTCTTATCTCATGAAAGGCTTGATATTAACAGAGTGTTTCTCTGATATTCAGCCTGTATCTAAAACTCTAGCACAGGAACATTATTTCTTAGCTTTCATTGCAAGTTCCCATGGAGGCCAAGAATGAATTGTCACAATAAATAGAGTTTTCAGCAGAGCCTGAACCTGTCTTGACTGCTGTCTTTCCAGAAAAGCTGATTACTGGCATAGCTGTTCTCCTGTCTCTCTACTGCTGCTTTCCTGTTCAGAAGCAGCTGCATCAGTATTACTTGTGGAAATGCTACACACACAGAAAATCACATTTATTGGAATTATTTGCAGCATATAATGTTACTGTAAAGTTTGAGATCCACAAGGCAGGTTACTTTGTTCACTCTCCTTCAGGCAATGTAAATGCTTCCTTAATAAAATGCTTTGCGTTAATTTTAGAACTACTCCACGATGAGGCTTTACCTGCACAGACAAACAGAGAGCAGTAGTGGTTCAGGGCAGGAACAGAGTCCTGTAGGGTGGTGTGCCTGCTGACTTGGTGATGAATGCCAAATTGGCTCAGTCTGTGTTCACTTCTCTTGACTCTTACCGGAAGCAAACAAAGCTTAGAAGACCACACAGGGTAGCATCCCAACCTGTGTGGCTACATGCAAGGCACTGCTCTTGATATGCTCCTTCAGCTGTGGTAAATTTTGAATTTTAATGGAAAGTTTCTTACAATGAATATGGATCATATTAAATGACTGTCTGTTAACAGGATTTGCGCAGCTCTGAAGGTAGTTTTGGATCTTTGATCTGTAACGTCAAATAATGGTCTGTAATGTTACAGCAAACAAATTAAGGGGTGAGCTGGAAACCATTGAATCAGATTTAAGATCAGCCATACTTCAGTTAAATGCCATGTCACAAGGCTTACTGGAAATGGAGAGAACTTTAAGAGGCATTCAAGTAACAGTGAAGCACAGACCCATCCTGAAAAATGCAAACATCAGAGTATAAGTTGAGCTATGGAAGTCATGGAGAGAACTGAAGACTGATTTGCTACTACCGGAGCTACTAAGAGAAGATATAATGCAGACTACTGGTAACTGTAACCTGAATGCTAGCCCAAAGCCCTGGTGTTGGGTATTGGAAGATCTTCTTAGGATGATGCTGAGTAGAGATCCTCCCATGGGAATTCTTCTTCCACCAACTCTATCGTTTGTGCATGTAAGTAAGAAGCAACAGCAGCTAAGGATATGGTTCTTTCTGTGCTCCTGGGGACAGTTTCTGAAATTGAAGGGTGCATCCAGCTCTTTGAAATTAATCAATTAAAAAAAAAAAAAGAATCTGCCAGAAATACCAGTGCTGCTACAGCAAGAATAAATGTTTAAAGGAGGGGAGGGAAATGCCACCATTTTAAAAACTTGAAGAAAATAAATAAATCTATTTCTTCTGGCTTGCTGGAATTCAGTGTTACTTACCAGCTAGGGGACTCATGTTTTTTCTCCCTGTCTTCACAGTGACCTTGGCTTTGATTATTCCTTGTGCATTCATAATTAACACTATGCCACCAGTCCACCACTTTAGTTTGAACAGCCATACTTAATGTACTGCCTGAAAACCTAGTTTTCTGCAGATGTGAAGTTGCCTAATACTGTGGTGAGGGGCAATTGTATAAAATTTTAACTACATCAGCTGAAATGTATGAGAAACAAATGTATTTATTTCTTCAATTCAGTGTTACCATTGCACAGTGAGAGCTGCATAGTCTGTGAAAGTTACCATCTCAGTTAAAGGAAGTGAGACTGTTCCTTTTGACTTTGAGTGAGATTGGATGGGGCCCTGAATTTGAAACAGTCAATCAGTTTTGAAAAGATACTATAAGGCTTTTGTTTGAATGAATGTACATATGTTGAAAAGGCTGCTGTGTTCTCATGCAGCAATGAAATTATGCAGAATGTGGACCATGTAAAAAGCTTATATTTTATTAATGAGTCTGTTAGTGCCAATAAGTTTATTTTTGTAGCAAGCGAATAATTTTAATTTGAATTTTCTTGTTTCAGGACCAGAGCAATGGAATGCCTCTGTTGTTCCAAAATGTACATTTGATAAGGATTGTTTGGCTCACAGAAAACACAGCCTACTAGGAATGCAAAAATCCATGTTTTGTTTTTTTCAACCATGGGGTGTTTTCTTTAATACGTGGCACAAGGAGACAGAAACTGAAAAGATGATGATTTTTTTCTTCTGGTGCTTTTTCCGCTAAAGCATCGTTAACTCTTTGCAAATATATGGCTTATAATTCCAGTCCTAAGACTGAACATTGTATTTCCTGTCCAACTCAATTAGTGTATTTCTCCTTTCTAACTCTTGCTGGCACCTGAGTAGAAATGTGATGACACTGAGCATACCTGGTAGAGTAGAATCCTCTGCCACTGCCAGGCAGGACTGGAACATGAAAAGTCCCAGCAGAGAGAAGAGAACTACTAACTGTACTCCTCCTCACAAGAGATCCTGGCTGTAATACCAGTTGTGTCATGGTTTAGAAAAAGCTGAGAAAAGGAAAGGAATTTTATTTTTCTTGACAATTTTTTTTTATTTTTATCTGCATTCTCTTTTTCTTCTGAAGTTTGCCTTGTAAATAGTGGGTATAAATTAATCTCTTTTGTTCAAGTGCATTCCTGATCTTTTAATTCTGCACCACTCTGCACTGACATGTGCTAGGGATTTGCAGTGCCGAGTCAAGCATAAAGCACAAAGCCAGCAGACATCACCTCACCCTCAAAACCAAGATAAAGCAAAGGGAACATGAGTGGGTTGGAAAATAGCTAGGGAAGGAGGTTTAGAAGGACATGAGGAGTGAGGGACATGATTAGAGGGAAGCTCCCTTGCTCACGATCTATCAGTCTTGTGAGAACCTCTTACAGCAATGGTGCTAATATTGCCTGTCTAAAACATGCAAGAAAATGATAGGTTAGCTTCAGATGCTAATCAGAAGGTTAAATGAGCTCTGTGGAAGGAACTAGTGCACTTGTGCCTCAGAGAATTTGAGGTTTAGAAAGCGCTGCCATGCCCAAAGCCATCATGCACAGCTCTGCAGAGTGGGTATTTTACGTCTGTGAATAACGGTAATTTTGACAGTCAGGCTACCACTGATTAGTGTCAGGTTTTTATTGCCTGACAGCACAACAGCACAGCTCTCCAGACTGAGGAACATCACCTATTTAGCACTGGCATCCTGACCTCCTTCTAACATTGTCATCAGCCTACATCTGTCACCGCTGTATGTAAGCAGAGGGGCCCAAGCAAGTGTTTTGTCACTCCGCATAGAATACTGTGCTTTTTATTGCACCTTCTCATTTTAACCTCATTCAGGTTCCCAGACATTCATGTTCTTGCTTGCTTCCTTTATGACACAGATAAAGTTTGGCAGTAACTGGCCACAGGAAGCCTTGGCCAGTTCCCAGAAGCTTGTCTCTTATGTCCTGTTACACTTCAAAGATGTGTTTTTTTTTTTTCTGAAGTGCCTTCCTAAATCAACTAACTGCTTTGGACTCCACATCTAGTCTGTGTCTCACCTGTGCTTATAAACAGGAGATCTTTGGACACCTCTCAAGGTGTTTAAAGACCCCTGCAGTATAGTTTACAAAGATCACAACTAATTAGATCTATTATCTAAAATAAAAAAGGCGTTTGTTTACTAAATCTGGTTTTGCAGAAGATTTTCTAACATGCTGGGCTTTGTATTACTTGTGACCTAAAAGCATGACAGTTAGTACATTACTGAGTTCTTCCTTGTTAGGAGTCAGGGCCAAATTACGGGCTAATTTGGAGTTCCCAAATTTGACGCTAAAAGAAGAAAGGATGAGTGGGAAGACAGTATCTTAAACACTCAGGAGGAGGAGTGAAAATTATATCACAGTATCCTTTTCACTGCTAGGGAGCTTCCACCACTTGTTTTATATATATTTTCAATTATAGCACTGGCTATCTCCATTCAGGTAGAATTGCCAAGGGAGACTGATGGGATTTGATAGAGAAGAAATTAACCTAGAATTACAGGGTATAATGTTCATAATCCGTCTTCTGGCGTGGAGTTGAGCCGGGAAGTTAAGGGTAAGCCTTTGACCAGATGTCTACTGTTCTCCCACTAGATCCTTACAGTAAGCCTCCAGCTTAGACAGAGAAAAGTATCAAGATGCTCCTGTACCCAAGCCATCACTATTTCATCAGTGTAGTGGACAGCACACAGCTTATATGCCTCTGAAGACTCCAAAGGAGGAAAAGGAGTTTATGAGGACAAGGAGGAGGGGATGTAACTTGGAAAACAAAAGGAAAACACATACTGAGAAAGGAATGGATGCTATTTTGTCAGGACACAGAGCAGGGATGAAGCATGGATGAAACAAATAAAAAACCAGGAAAAATCTCGCCTTCTGAAAGAATAAGCAAAGAGATTTTTTTTTATTTTGCAATTTTTTGTATCTTTATTTAATTTCAAAGTCTTTGTTACTGATTCTCTCTTCAAGACTTGGTAAGCTGGATGAAAAGATACGCATTTTGGTTTTGTACTACAGGAATAAACTTCCACAATATGAAATCTCTTACTCACAATGGAAATTCTTTTCTCTCATCTTGTTTCCCATGGCATCTTGGAGATGGTTATCAATAAATAACAGACAGTAACTGGCTAAACAGTCTGTTACCTACTTTTCCTTTCATCATCTGGTGAAAAATCTCCACAAACTACACACAACAGTGCCAGCAGAAGGAAATACCACTTGTTTCACTGAGACAGATGCATACTGCTAAATATAGATTTTAAAGAACTGTTGGTTTCTAAGTTCATAGGATTCATTTCCACTGCTTCTCAGTGGTTCTTTCTCATCTCCCATGTCATTGTCTTTCATCTGTGCAAAATAGGCAGAAGAAGCTTTGCATTCATAGTGCCTGTCAAGAGATTTCAGGTGGATCAACATATGAAGAGCATAGACAAGAACCAGCAGCAGAATCAGTGACATAACCAATCCCATAAGTATTGCTGGAGAGAAAAAGGATGCACAGTCTTTTGCATAGGCAAAATGTCCTTCTCGAATGTTAAAACCTTGAATCTACAAAGAGAACAAAAGGGCTTATATTAAATAAAGTACTTGCATCACAGTTACAAACAACTTCACGAATTTGCTTCTGACGCCAGTAAGAATTTTTAATTTAATACCTGCTCATTGCAAAATTGCATCTATCAGTGCTAGCTGGAGTTAATGTTCAGTGTTTATCCAGGTCAGTCTTCTAGAAACTGCCAGTTATTCTAATCGCCTTCACTATGCTGCCCAAAGGATTTGCAGTTGTGTTTTAAAACAAAATCTTCTGTGATCACTCTTGTTAGCCCAGTAATCTTTAATTGTAAGCATGGTACCTGTCAAACTAACAGTGCACTTCCAGCAAAATAAATCTCCAGAATCTCTGTTTCAAACTGCATAAACTTCAACATGACAAACAAGGAAATATTCTCAATTGCCTACTCTAATATTAGATTTTTCTCACCAGATCCAAGTGTGCAGTATATGGCAGTAAATCAGCTAAACTACATGAAGTGGCATTCAACTATGGCAAATACCAGTAAGTTTTATTTGTGGCTTCAGTTCTAACGTGAAGTTTACCAGACTGGCATTCAGGGAATTTACTGTCTGCTCCACTGAATCGCTCCATGGGCATTTATCACATGGTGAGAAAAGGGGGATCAGCTTTCCCCCTCAATCCCCTTTTTCAGCTATTCATGCCGTATGACTTAGGTATCTAAAAGCAAGACATCCTAGTCTGGTTGTCTTAGGCTCCCTTATTGCCAAACACACAGAAAAATAGGCACTTTCAGAAGATGATTAATCTCATCCTAAAATAACGACTTAAGATGAGTCAGAGGAATTATCCACGGGCTTTAGAGGCAGGCTGGGGTGACTATAATCAGGGCACAGGGTTAAAATTACTAGCCATCAAAGGTAAAGTGAGATGTATCACATACCTGGTGACTGATGCAGTTATTGATGCCAGGTTTAAGAGCCCAGTTCAGAGAGATGTAACACTGAAAGTTAAATTCACTACCCACACTAAAGGGAAACCCAAGCAAGAGATTACAGAAAATCTATATAGCCTTTCATTTCCTTTGACAGGAAGATAAGTATAATAATTTAAGTCTTCATTTCTCTTTCAAGTTCCATAGAGATCCTGCAAACTGTACATGGAAGGTCATTATACTCGGCAGTGAAGTACAAAATTTCCCATCAGTCTACCTTTGGGATCCATTTGGCTTAATTCCATGACATTACCTGGAAATCAATAAAAGTAACTTCCCAAAGCTTTGAAAGATCATTTGTAGAGCTGGGTATGAGGAGTGCATCATATCTCTGCAAGCTGCTCACATGTTCACAGTGGTAGGAGTAACTGGCCGGTGCATATATTCTGGTTGCATTAAATGTTGCTTGTATGGAGTGGTTGTAAAGAAGTTGCAGTCTGTGTAAACTGAACCAGCTCTGAACAGACAGCTGGTAATAGCTGGTTGTTAGTAAGAATCTGAAAATATTGTATGGGAAAAAAGATGAATAAGAAAGCAAGTCTAACAAAGAGCTGGAACTATTATATTCACATGTTGAACAATCTTAGAAGGCACATTGGTATTACCACAGTTTCATCCATTTATATCAGTGTGAGCTCTAGCTCCTTCTGTGGAGTCTGGAAAATTATTTGAGTTTCTTCATTGTTGCAGCTGAAGAAGTTTGCTGCTCTCTCATACAGTGAGAGGAAAGGTGAGGGATTTTTCCTAAATGACTGAGAAAAATCTGTATGCAACATTGGTATTGTACTTCCATCCAAGATATAAGAAATTATTTATCAAGAAATGTTGTTTTCTTTGATCATCAAGAAGCAAACATAAAGTAGGTCACAGTCGGATGCCTGAGCAGCCCACACTATCAGTTCTTGCGGCAAAATTCCCAGACAAAAATGTAGCTAATTAGCAAGGATTAGCAAAAATCTCAGACATGGGAAGATTCTATGCAAAAGAGATGACCTGAACTTTTCCCATTAATAGAAAAGTCAACACAGAAGAAATGCCTTAATAAAACAAGGCAGGCAAATGACAGACCTATTAAATGCAGGTGTCTTGATTATACAATCAACGGTTCTATCACATTAGTTTTGCTTAACAAATTCTCCTAAAACAAACTGCACAAGCAGCTGCGTAACAATGGATATGAATATGTGATTATCTAATATTTTCTTTATGATATAAACTTACCTAATAACAAGACCCTTTAGATTGCCAATGTCACCAAACTTCAGAGAAAGCCTAGGTCAAAAAGCAAGTAACATCAGGCTAGATAAAAACTTCAGAAATCTTAAGAGAAAAAAAGAAGCACATAAGATTAAGCATAGTTATACGTGGAACCTTTTGCTTAGTATACCTTTGAAGTCAGAGGGAAAAAAACCTGAAAGGATTAAATCTTCCTCCAGTAAAATCCAGTACTTCAGCTGTTAATTTGAAGGAGGCCTAGACTACCCAGAAAGAACAGAACTGCATGCTCAACTTTCAACACAATTCAGTTCCACTGCTTCCAACATTGGTTGACAATTAGGTTCATTTGATCTGTGTTCTCCTCAAGCCATGACATCTTAGTCATGAATCAACCTCTACATGTCATTAGAAAGTGTAAACAGCCACATTATTCTCATCTGTTTAGACACTAGGGCATAACAAATGCAGATGACATTTCAGTTCAAATTTCACACATGTGCATCATTAGAGCCATATAAACACATTGGCTGTGAGTTAGCTCTACAAAGCTTATGTGTGGTGCGCATGGGCACCTGAAGTTTACTAAAGTGAAAGGCCCTAGGAGGTTAATTGTAAACTAATGCATACTCTACCACCCTTCCACCATCTCTGGAATTAATGCATTGTACAGTGCATGATTAAGTGGTATACATTTAAATAATATTAAAATAACATTTTGCCTCTTAAAACCTGCATAACAGATTCTCACTGTTGACCTAGCATTTTCAGACTATGCTAGAGACAAAACATAGTGAAACCATGCAGCATCTGAAATACTTCTGAACCTAAAGCTGAAGAAAATTAAAAAAAAAAAAAAACAGCTAGCCCTGTGATTTTATATGAGATCTACGCTTCTTGTACCTTGACTAACATTGGTCCAATAAGCCAGGACACTGAATCTAGACTATCCCTTACTCTACTACAAAGGGAAATCACAGACAGTTCAGGATTAGACACAGGCAAATACAGCATTAAAGCCAGTGGTCTGATCCAGAAGTTGGTGCATAAAAAAAAAAGCCACAGGTTTGATTATTATATTCGTATAGCAAATACATGTTCAGTGCCAAATATTTTCTCCCGGCTCGAGCTACTTTCCAATGATCAGACAGTATAAAGCAGCTTGAAAGCTGACCTAAAGCCACAACAGAGTATTGTATTAACAAAGAAAGCTGGAGAAGAGAGAAATTTAAGGGACTTTTCTGAGGTGAGAAAAATTGGGCAATGTGTCATGTGAGCACTCACCCATCAACTGTCATAATTTGCAGAGAGGAAATTAGAAAGCAAAAGCCCAGCTAGAACTCAATCTGGCCACTGTTGTAACAGATAATAAAAAATGTTTCTACAAATACATTAACAACAAAAAGAGAGCCAAGGAGAATCTCCATCCTTTATTGGATGCAGGGGGGAACATTGCCACCAAGGATGAGGAAAAGGCTGAGGTACTTAATGCCTTCTTTGCCTCTGTGTTTAACAGCCAGACCAGTCATTCCCAGGGTTTTCAGCCCCCGAGCTGGAATACAGGGACAGGGAGCAGAATGAAGCCCCCACAATCCAGGAGGAAGCAGTTAATGACCTGCTATGCCACCTGAACACTCACAAGTCTATGGAGCTGGACAGGATCCACCTGAGAGTATTGAGGGAGCTGGCAGAGTTGCTTACCAAGCCACTCTCCATCATCTATCAGCATTCCTGGTTAACAGGGGAGGTCCCAGAGGACTGGAGGCTCGCCAACATGACACAACATCTACAAGAAAGACCGGAAAGACGATCAGGGGAACTAGAGGCCTGTCAGCCTGACCTTGGTGCCGGGAAAGATTATGGAGAGGTTCATCTTGAGTACGCTCAACAGGCATGTGCAGGTCAACCAGGGGATCAGGCCTAGCTACAATGGGTTCACGAAAGGCAGGTCCTGCTTGACCAACCTGATCTCCTTCTATGACCTGATGACCCACGTAGTGGATGAAGGAAAGGCTGTGGATATCATCTACCTGGACTTCAGCAAAGCCTTTGACACCATCTCCCACAGCATTCTCCT